TCTCTCTCTCTCTCTCTCTCTCACACACACACACACACACACACACACACACACACACACACACGCACACACACACACGCACATACCGGCGGCAATGGAGTGCGGATAAGCATGGACATGAAAGGAGATAGGCTAAACAGGCGGCGAGGGAGGATGGAAGAACTCTCTCTCTCTCTCTCTCTATCTATCTATCTCTCTCTCTCTCTCTCTCACTCTCACTCTCTCTCTCACACACACACACACACAAACACCTCCATCTCCGTCAGAACTTACCTTCGTGTCTTGCTCTCTTCGGATCATGCGCGGGCGGCTGTTCTACCTCCATGGGCCGGCGATGGCAGGCGCACAGGTCGCCGAACTTGGAGACCAGTCGCCGACCCCCGCCGTGTTTGGACCCTTCCAAACTTTCGTCATTCACATCACTGCGCCGAGCGATGCTCCACGCAACAAACGGACGGCTCGGCCTGACTGGGACGGGTACTCTGCGGGGTTGAAACGAGTGCATAGGTCCTTCAATCGATAAATACGGGAAGTTCAGGAACCCTCTGTTCATTTGGAAAATTCTGGCTGCTCTCCATCTTTGGGGATAAAGCCGCGTCTACTTTTGACTTGAGGCCAGGCCCCAAATCGTACTATATTCATGCTTATAAATCGTGGACCTGGTCGGCATATCGTCCATATTCTTGATTTCTCTTCCCACACCAGTGCGGCCTGGTCCTGAAGAGGGGCAGCGAGCCATGTATAGCCCAGTGGGAGTGCTCGACCGGTTCTATGTGAATTCTATGTCGGCCTATGTCCGTGCTATGTCGTGCTATGTTCGTGTAATTATGCTAGAAGCAATCTAACGATCTCCTTCACTACCACAGTGATGCTGCCTAAGGATGAACATAGAATTAGGGTAGGACCCCACAGGACGGGGGCAAACGGTTTCGGAAGTCGCAACTTCCAGCCGACTGCCCACCGCCAACGGAAACGATGAAAACGCAGGGGACCCCACCGCCGCCACGAAATGTTGCTCTCGAGTCGGCACTGGTTACCCAAAAAGGAAATTTCAGAAAATATTTCCTCTTTGGGAAAGAATGGGGCTGCTGAGGGTATTCCAGGTCCATTGTAGGTGGTCGTAATGGAAGGGCAGCTGTGGATAGTGGGCGCCGGTGTGGCATTTCCTGCGCGGCACCAATATGGAGGCAGGCGGCATATCTTCCCCGGTACCGGGTTCCAGGCCATTGGGCCGTGCATTGTGATCTGGGGAGTCGTCCACCGCTTCAACGTCACAGAGGCGCAGAGCTGCTAATGCCATACCCGTTCCCTTTGAAGCTTGTTATACGCAACCTCACGGCCCCTCGCGGGTTCCCGTACGGGGTCGCCGATCAGAGTTCTAGGAGGGGCGTGGGCGAGGATTTTTGACCGTAAGGGTTGAGTCTCCCGGACGGAACGGGAGGCTCTCGTTTCGTGGCCGAGGTTTTTCTCGGAGTCGAACTGTCGTCGCGAAGTCCCGCGGGGGTTGGATTACTCCGAGACGATAAAATTAGAAGGGTTTCTGTGAAAATGAATTGTCGTCGTGCATCGGGACGGGAAAAGGCATCAAGGGGAGGGGGCCATGGCGGCGGAAGACAAAACTTCGATCGTCAGGGGTTTGGGGGATAGGTGGTGGGTTCGAAGCCTTCGGGCCTCATCATCGACTTCACAAAGTATCTGAACCCTCGGGTCTTTGTTGTGGAGGTGGGTGGTTTGAGGCCTTCAGGCCTCGGCGTCGGACTCGCAGAGTCCGCGCAAAAGTTTTCGGGAGGGTAAAGAGGCGGGAGGACTCGCCGGCATCTGAATTCGAAATTCCGCGGGCAGCGCCCCCGCACTACGGGAAAGTTCGGGGAAACGTGTCGCTCCCTCGTAACCCAGGACCAGTCGTCGCCACGAGCACGAGTCCCCCTGGCGACACCAGCAACAATCAAACTGCGGTCGCCACGCGCCGTGAGCGGCCGACCAGGGCAACACCGTTAAGCCCGTATAAGGCAATATCAGAGTCGGGGAATCAAAACGATCAATCAACACAAAACCATTCCCCCTTATCTCACTTGCCCACGGTGGGTCTTGCCAACACACTTGCTCCGTCCGCCTCAGCGCGCGCCGTACGTCCGCATCGCAGAAGACGCTGTCGTCATCTGTGATGGGGAAGGTCGGTAGCGAGATGAGACGATCGGAGGTACGTGATGAACATGGGCAAGATCCCTCGTTCCCAGTCATCCGAACCAACACCGAATCCGTACAACAATCGTCGCAACTTTCCTCTCTCAAAAGTGAGTGCGTAGGGGAGGGGAGATGACGAAATCTAAGCTTTCTCCTCTTGACGGGGGCGTCGACCGTCCGCGCGGACGAAGGCGGCTGACGTCACCGGTACGGGGACGATAAGCTCCAAAAGCGATGACTGTCTGTTCCAAGGAAGGTGATCGGGGAAGGGAAGAAGGGAGAGAGAGAGAGTGAGAGAGTGAATTACGTCGAGACCGTGCAAGAGCGTAGGAAAGACCGCGGAGGGGAGGGGAACAACCGGATCAACACACTCATACTCCTAAGCCAACGGTTTCCCAGTTCAGTTTCCCCATCCCCGCCCGGACGAGTACATATACACATACATGCATGCAATCAATAACACTCGACATGACATCTAATCATCCATGGGCCTTCGACGTCACTCATGCGCAGAACAAGCTCCCATCACTCCGGGCTTCACACACACGACATGCATAGACAAAGCAGCAATGGAGATAAAAGCGAGTCCTTCTTGTACACACAAAAATTTCAATTGACTGCCGCCCCCTGGCGCAGCCTTCAAAAACTTCCCAAGACCACCGACCACCATAGCCACAAGGCCCTGTCGCGACCGGCGTCCAATCCCCACCACTGCTCGGTCCCTCCGACTGCCTAGCCTCGAGACTACCACGGGGCCCACCCCACGTCGTCACTCCGCCCGTCCTTGGGCTCGTCGAGCCTGTTCGGCGCCGCGGACTCTCGCGCATAGCTCGCGTAGCATTGCAGCCGAGATCAAAGAGAGGGAGAGGAGAGGGTTGCGCAAATTTACAGCGCGGGAGGCGGCGGGTTAACGGCGCGAGGTGCGGGCAGCGCAGGGTGCAGAGGAGCAGGACAGGAGAGAGAGGTGGGGAGTTAGAGGGTTCGACCCGTGGGATTGCATGGCTACGTGATTGGGGTGTTCGTTCAAGTGGTGCGCGGTTTTCCGCTTTCCACATTGATCCGAGCATCCCAACTACGCAGCCAATCACTTCGCGGGGGAAGACAGGGTAAGGATCAAGCTGGGCGTAGGGGAAAACGAAGAGTCCTGCATGGGGAAAATGCGCGCAGCAAGTAGGGAAGATGGCGCGAGGATGCAAAGCAAGAAACGGGGATGCGAGACGCGCGAAGAAATCGGAGCTTGGGCGTGCACGCAAAAATTCAAAAAGTCCCAACCGCACCCGTTTCTTGATTTTCATACCGCGGCCGCTATTCGCCCGCGGGGGTTATTAACCAAACAAAATGAAAAAGGCCGTTTCAAAAAGAAAACAATAGCAAAAAGAAAGAAAAACCCCTTTCTATCTGCGTCCGTACTTCGGGGCTTCCGCGGGGTTTTCCCTCAAGGATACGACAAGCCGCGCGGTACGAATCTGAGCTTATTACATTTGTGATACGCAGAGGGTTCCGAAAAATTAGCACTCTCCTGACTGCTAACGTCATCATATCTTGGATGATCGGGCGGCCTCTTCATCGTCAGCTGGCCCGATCATCCTCCTAATCTACGTGGATGCATCCCGCATCCTCCATCGCCTCCTCCCATAGTATACATTCGATCGGGCGGCCTTTTCATCGTCAGCTCACCCGATCGTATTTTTTTTTTAATTATTATTATTATTTTTTTTTTTCCATATATATACAGCGCGTATTGTCGCGCGAGCTTTAGATCCGGAAGAGAAGAGAAAAAGAAGAGAAGGAGAAGGCGAGGACGGGGGAGAGGTCGACGAAGGTGATCAGATGAAGTGATCTATGTCGGGCCATTGCCGCAGGAGTCGTCGGCGCATCTTCCTCACGGAAATGATGCTGGACGAAGGAGGGGTAAAGAAAAGCCCCCGGCACATGACAGAGGACACGTGGCGCCAGATCCGCCACCGCTCGCACCACCTGCTTGCGCACCGATCGGGGCCCTCGACCCGTCATCATTACATGCGTCTCGGTATAAGGCCGCCGCTCCCGCTTCTGCGCCGCGAGGACCAGGAAGTGGTGCACCGCATTGGGACGCTGCCCAATCTCGTAGATGAGCGTCCCAGCCAATCGCGCTGCAATACACCCTTGAAAAGGGGGCGTCAGGTATAGTTCCCACGCCGGATCAGGGCGCAGCGCCCCCGCGATGGCCTCGAGCCTAATGGTGGCGGGCTCCACCATGAAGTCCACCTCGGTCGGATGGACCGTCCGGCTCGGATGAACTACTAAGGTCAATGACCGGGGCACCCTGGGGTGGTTGGCGAGAACGGAGAGGTCCCGTGAGGACGGGGGGTCTGGATATGGGATCCGGAAATCCCATTCGGCTTCCTCCTCCGGCTGCTGCTGTTGATGATAGCCCGACTCCATCAAGATTGAGGTCGGGCACACGCGGAACGGGCGGTGATGGCAGGATAGTCTCCTTAACGAGCGTCGCCGCGCGCGCGGGCTGAATCACTTCCTCGCCGCCGCCGATCCTACTGCCTTGCGCTTCTGGCAACGGGTGGCGTCTCTTCCTCTTCGGCGTCTTCTTGGGGGCCTTCGGTGGCGCTGGCCGAGAGTACGATGAGGGAGGACGCAACGGCCTTTCCTCCGGGAAGTCGTCCAATCTCTCCGCGCACTGCGCAATGTAATCCGGGATGACGACCGCGTTGTACGTTCTCCGCGGGGCCGTCGCCGTCCGCAGTCGCGGTTGGATCTCCTCCTCCTCGCTCGCGATCACTTGCGCGATGGAGAGGAGCTCAAGATGTATGAGCTCCAAAAATCCCGGATCAATCGTCTGGAGCTGGGCGAATGGGTACAGTGCGACCATCCCTTCCTTCTCCGCTAGCTTGGGTCGCGAGATGACGAAGTAAACGACGAAGTGCTCACCGGTAGCGTGGTCTTCGTGATCCACGAAGAACCGGAATATCCCTTGCGCCACCGACTTGTACAGCGCACGGTGCAACTCCCATGCGTCCTCGTCGGCGAAGGGCAGCGGCTCCACGTCAGTTAGCTCCAACAGGTACTCCGAGAACTCTCGCATAGGGTAAGGGCCCGCCGTGAGCTGGTAGGGGAGGGTGGTGTAGGAGAAGAAAGGAGCCATTTAGTACGGGACAGGGGGAATAGCTTGGAGGTTGAGAGGGGCAGCGGGAGGGAGAAGCGCGGGGAGCTGCGGCACCAGCGCGATCGGTCCGTCTTCTGCCCTACGCAGCAGCACTTCGTGGGCTGTGAATCCCGCTCCGTCCTTGCACTCTGGCCACTGATCTGGCCGCTTCTACCGCGTACTCGCGCACAAAGCTGCGCGCCGGCTCCCGATTCTCCTGCGGGAGGATCGTCAAGTCTCCGATGAAGGTGGCGACGCTGTGGACGAAATTGGGTGCCACCTGGAGCACACGGAACTCAATGAATACCCGGGTCGCCTCCCGGCCAGGCAACTTCGTCACGTCCACGTACACCCCCGCATATGTCAGCCGATCGCAAAGCAACGAGTATGCCGCCAGATCAGCAACCCCGGGTGCGGGCACATTCACCTATTGGATGTCGTACTGCAACTGCCTCTCCTCGTTAAACCGATGCCGCAACAAGCGATCTGCAAGCGGCGTCTGGAAGTGCTCGAGGGGCTCATGCTCCGGCTGGCGATGGTTCATCCTGCTCCCCAGAACTCTCAGCACCAATGGACGAGGCAGATCGAGAAGAGGAGGGGTCCGTAGGGGACCTAGCGATGGCTGGAAGGGCCGGAGCGCGGCAGCGTGCTGTGTCAGCGGTCGGGCCTGGGAGTTGTGACGGGGAATCAGCTTCACTAAGTGTTGTCCCTGTGCGCCAACTTCCGTGACCTCGTAAATGCCTGTGTAGCACGGGTGGATCTTGGAGGAGCGTGCAGATTTCCGTACCTGTACTAAGTCCCCAACTTTATAGCGGGGCAGTGGTCCCGCCGACGCGTGTTGGTTCTCGTAGTCCCGGATCTGCCGTTGATGCGTCCGATCTACGGCCTGCTGTCGACGGCGAGCTAACGGGGGATAGACCCTAGCCATTAAGTCTAGGTAGTGGCGGGCCTTGTCTCGATTCTGAGCCCGTGTTGCTCTAACTTCCGCACCCACTAAGGGGGACAATTGCACCCGAGGGACACTATTGGTTCTCAGTTGAAAGGGGGACACCCCAGTACTACCGTGTGGGGTAGCCCGATAAATGGCCAAAATGTGATCCACAATGACCGGCCAGGGTCGGGTATCTCCCGCAGTGATATTCCGTCTAAGGGCCGTCTTAATCAGTCAGTTGGCATTCTCTACTAGGCCATTGGCTTGAGGCCAATGCCCCGGCGAGTAGATAATCTTAACGTCCGCCCTGACCAGGTGACGTTCTACTTCGCCTTGAAATTCCGATCCATTGTCCACGTGTATTTCTTCTACGTTTAGATGCATGCACACAAATCGATTTACGTACCAGGCTACTTCCTGCGAATTTCGGCTGGTCATAGGGTACGCCTCGATCCATTTTGAAAAATGATCGACGGCCACTAAAAGAACATTGAGTTCTCCCTGATCGACGGGCCCTCTCGGAACGTTGATGTCCGTCGTATCGATGCTAACCCTCTGAAAGGGGCGCTCTACACGAGTGGGCACCATCGTCCGAGGCATCTGGACCGGCGCCTTGTGCGCCGCGCAGGCCGGGCAATTCTGAACAATGTATTTCACATCTTCCTGAATTCCCGACCAGTACCATCCGTTCTTTTCGATGGCTTTTTATGTGTACTTGACCGCGAAATGGACCACATCCTCCTCATGAGCAGCTCGTGTCCAATCGAACCTAGCAAGAGGGTGTGGAACCGTCAACCAGCTAGACTCTCCGTCGTCATCGACCTTCCGTTTTTGTAACGTCGGGCCCTGCCAGCGATAGTCTTGTGCCCGCTTCGTGACTCTCTGCCGTTCGGCTTTGGTAAGTTATGACAGCGAGTCTCCTGACAGTCTTCGTAGCAATAGGAGGTCCGTCCAGGCTTCTGCTCGGCGGGCACTCGACGCAAATCCGTCGGCTGTTTTAACGTCCAGATACCACTTCTCGGTAGGGACTTGGTCCGTTCTACAGTTGGGACAGACCCACGTCTTTTCACATCGGTACCTAACACACTGTCTGTGAGACTTGACCGTATGACACTGACTAAACTGTACCCATAAAAGAAAAGTGGGCCCTCCCGGATGTGACCCTTTTTGGTCCGGGATCATAGGTAAGGTACAAAAGAAACAGGGACTTTGGTGCGTTTCAGAAGACGAGTTGGGGCTAGACGAGAGAGCGAGGGAGTGGTGTAACGAGCGTGAGGCTGAGGGTGAGCCGAGGGAGAGGAGAGAGAGGGAGAGAGTGAGAGCACACACACACGCTCACTCACTCGACACGACTGACTGGACTGAGGATCGGACGCAGACACCGTGGCAAGGCACAAAGTCGAAGTCTTGGATTCCGAATGCCGAAACAGCAAGTCACACTGAGTACGAGTACAGCAGCAGAGAACTGGTACGAGACTGGCCCCCGTACCGTACGGGGAGCCGGTATAAGTATCGGTGACACGTACGGTACCAGGGGCATTTCTGCAAAGGCCCTGAGGGCAGAACTGAAAAATGCAGTATTTGAAAGTGGCGCCCAAATTGCAGCATGGCGCC